GGAGGGTGGCCGCCTGTCTGTGAGGAGACTATGTTGCTTCCCCTCCCCCTGAACCCCTGTTCCTCTGCTTCTCTAATCCCCCCAGCTCCTGGTGTGGAGGGGGCTTGTTTGTGTGTGTGTGTGGGTGTCGCTTGTGCAGCCTCTTCCACAGGACGGGGTGTTTCTGCTCCCCTCCCCTTTGTTTGTTCCCTGTGTGGTCAAGCCAGGAGGGATATGAGGGAAATGGGGACCCCCTCACCCTCCTGCCTCAGTCTTTCCCCCACCCCTGTCTCTTTCCTGTTCTTCTCTGGAAAATGCCAAAATACACGATGTGAATAAAAGTACAATGGCTATATCGTGCCCTGTTTGATACCTTGTGGACACATATCTTCCCTGGGGCTGGCAGGAGGGCCGGCTACTGAAAACTCCCAGCCCTGCCCCTTCCATAGCCAGTTTTCTACTTCTCAGTCGTCTATAGCTCTTGGGAAATGGAGGATGAAGGGAGGACTAGGGGCTCACTGATCAGGGGAAGTGGAGTGGGGTGACAGCGAGGGGCGGGGTGAAAAGCCCTTCTTTCCTTCCAGAAGTCACACACTTCCAGCAGGGGGCTCCAGTGGGTGTTTCCCGAAGGTCCCTAGTGGCTAGGAAGCCCCGGGCCTAGGCCCCTGGCCCTGCAGTCACTTGTCCCGTCTTGGCCAACTGGAGCAAGGAGTGGGCTGCTCCTCGGGGAGGAGCTCTGAACTGCCTCGTCCTTAGCTGTGCAGCTTCTGTGCCAGCGGGGGCCATCGCTCCCTCTGAACCCTGTCACTTGCCACGTAACTGTGGGCCGGCCAAACTCTCCCTGCCGGGGTCAAAGGTGCCTGCTCAGCAATCTGGGATATAGCTAAATACTTGGATGAGGGAAGGGAGTTCCTCTCCCCGAAGTTGGAAACATGCCCCTCAGACGCCCCCCACCCCACCCCCGGCTCAGTACCCTGAGTAATGTGGTCTAGGCCAAGCAGTCGGAGTGGTCGCGCTTGCCAGCTAGTTCCCCTGGGAACCACTTCTGGCTCCCTAGAGGGTGGCAGTCTTGAAGCGCTGGTTCCCCGAGCGCAAAGGCTCAAAGTTCTCGCCTTCTCCCGAGTCAGACGTCTAAGGCTGAAGCGACTGAGACTCGGTGACCCTAGAACGTTGCTACAAGAAAGGGGGTAACGTCAGAACATTGCCACAAGGGCGGCGGGCGGGGCGGGGGGTAGGACTTGCAGGCAGGGGCCGGGCTAACCATGGCCGAGGAGGCGGGGTTCTGTCTCACCGCGCTCTATATAAGCGGGCAGTGGCCGCGGCTGCGCGGTGATCCTGACCTTCAGTGTGTCGGCTCCAGCGCCATGGCGCCCTCCAGGAAGTTTTTCGTGGGGGGGAACTGGAAGATGAATGGGCGGAAGGCAAATCTGGGGGAACTCATCAACACCCTGAACGCGGCCAAGGTGCCCGCCGACACCGGTGAGCCTCATCGGGGTAGGGTGAGGAAGGGCGGGAAACGCCCTCCTCCGAGCTACCGGGTGTGCTCGTAGACTTGGATGCAGGCTGAGAAGGAGGGCTGCTGGGGACCCGGACACTGACCCCCCCAGCCACAGTGCTGGGTTGTGTCGAGGGGGAAATCGGGGCCACGTTTAACGGTGCGCTCGGACAGTGGGGAGAGAAAGGACTTTCTAGTCTTGGAGAGGAAGATGGCCCCAGGGCGCGGACGGGGCTGCACCATCGGGAGCCGGGCGTGGGAGTGGAGACTAGCACCGTTGCGCGATCGGGAGAGGCTGGCGACCGCCCTGGAGTTAGAGGATGGGGGGTAGTGGAGGCGGCTGAGTGGGTGTGCGGGCCTCTGGTCACCTGCGGCTAGGCCGGGCTCCGTGCGCCGCCGCACGTAGCCCGAGACTCCTCCCAGCGCCTTGCCTGGCGGGCTGAGTGCTCCTGCCGCGCTGCCCCGGCCTCCAGAACTCCCCGCTCTAATCCTTTACTCTCCGCTACCTGGACAAGCCCTGCCTTCTGCAGAAAGGGGCTGAGCATATGCCAAACAGGCTGAGCAATTTGGGAATGAGGAGCGGTCCTACGGCTTTCTCCAACCTGGAACCGGGAAAGCGCAAGGCCTCCACGAGCCGGTAGCTCCCTGCCACCCACCGGCAGAGCGCTCAGGCCTTCCCATCCACCTGAAACACAGAATCACCGGCCTGATCAGAAGAGGCATCCTCTTCTGGTTTATTCGCCGGAGACCCCAATTCCAACCCCAGGAGTTGGCTCCTTAAGTCTTTGCTGAAAATCCGTGCCTTGCCTGTGGGAGATAGGGATGAGCTATTTTAGAAGGGGAGGTGGTGTTGGCCCCCAGGGAATGCTGAGTCTAGGAGGCGCCCAGGCCCAGAATAGCCCCGGGGAAATCAGAGCCTCAGCTGTTAAAAGAGCAAAGGGCAGGGCCATGGCCTCTCAGGGGCACCTGGAAGGCTCTAGGAGTTGGAAGCAGACCCACTCTGGGAGGTGCACAAAGATCATCTTGCTGGGGTGAAAAGGGGCGGAAAAGAGAACTAAGGCAATTGGTGAAGGCTAGGGGGCTTCGGAGCACTGGATGGAGCCTGGAAAATGTGATCTCATCCACAGAAGTGGTTTGTGCACCCCCCACCGCCTACATTGACTTCGCCAGGCAGAAGCTAGATCCCAAGATTGCTGTGGCTGCCCAGAACTGTTACAAAGTGACTAATGGGGCCTTTACTGGGGAGATCAGGTGAGATGCAAGTGGGAGAGGGGTGTGTGGGGACCCTTCCCCTTACTTCCCTTTATTGAGTGGAAAGCCACAGGTGGGCTCCCTGTGGAACTGTGGCTTCATCTCGTCCTATAGCCCTGGCATGATCAAAGACTGTGGAGCCACGTGGGTAGTCCTGGGGCACTCGGAGAGAAGGCACGTCTTTGGAGAGTCAGATGAGGTTAGTAACCAGGAGAAAAGATAAGTGATGCCTTATTCCAAGAGTAGTGTCTCACCAGCTCTGTTCCTCAACAGCTGATTGGGCAGAAAGTGGCCCATGCCCTGTCGGAGGGACTTGGAGTGATCGCCTGCATTGGGGAGAAGCTAGATGAGAGGGAAGCTGGCATCACTGAGAAGGTCGTTTTCGAACAAACCAAGGTCATCGCAGGTATCTCTGAAGGGACCTCTGAGCCTAGCCAAGGTTATGGAGGCACAGAGGGTCGGGTCAGATGCTCCGCAGCATGACTTGATCCCCATACTGCTACAGGAAAGGGGAAGATGGGAGCCCTTGCATCGTTTCTGTCACTTCTGCTCCCACCCCTTGGTATTGATGCCTCTTAGAGTTCCCTAAATAGCCACCAGGGGGGCAGCATGTCACCCTCTTCGTTATTCCTGGGTACCAAGCTGGATAGCTCCTTCTTGTTCACCCTTCCATCTGTGATCTCTGTCCCACAGATAACGTGAAGGACTGGAGCAAGGTTGTTCTGGCCTATGAACCCGTGTGGGCAATTGGTACAGGCAAGACTGCAACACCCCAACAGGTAAACAAGCCCAGGACCCCACCCTCATCCTGCCTTGCCTTAGTAGAACTGGATAGCAGAGACTATCTGGGCCAACCCCCTCCTTTTAAAGGCAGGAGCCCCCAAGCCCAGAGAAGGGGAGAATGATTTGTCCAAAGACATCCATTCCATGGCCTGGGGGGTGTGTGGGTGTCAGAGCCCTGGTGTTCTGACTGGGATCCAGGTTCTGGCATTCCCTGAAGCCCCACTGCCTCGCTGCTGGTGCCCAGGGGTTTATCCCCTTTCTGGGAAAGGCAGAAAGATTCTTAACCTAGTCTGACTTCTTGTTCTAGGCCCAGGAAGTACATGAAAAGCTCCGGGGATGGCTTAAGTCCAATGTCTCTGATGCAGTGGCCCAGAGCACCCGCATCATTTATGGAGGTGAGTGGGTTGGGCTCCAGCTTGATGTGGGGTGGGCTGAGAATAGACTGAGCCCTCCTTAGTTAGACATGGAGGTAGGGATGGAGTATGCCCATCCCAGCTCTGACCATTCTCTTCTCTCTTCCCAGGTTCTGTGACTGGGGCAACCTGCAAGGAGCTGGCAAGCCAGCCTGATGTGGATGGATTCCTCGTGGGTGGAGCGTCCCTCAAGCCTGAATTCGTGGACATCATCAATGCCAAACAATAAGCCCCATCCGTCTCCCCTGTCCTTCCTGCTATGCCAAGGGCAACAGAGCACAGAAGCCCAGAAACTGCTCCTCCCCCGACACACATGCTTCTGATGGTATCACTTGCCCCTTCTCATGGCCTAATCCAAACTGTGCCTCTCCTTTACCATTTCCATCTTACCTTGTAATGTTTGGGACCAGGCCAATCCCTTCTCCACTTACTATAATAATTGGAACGAAACGTCATCAAGGTGGCTTCTCCTTGGCTGAGAGGTGGAAGGGGTAGTTTGTTCCCGGGTCCCTTCAGTCCCCAGTGTAGACAGGACAGAGAAGCCACCCTCCTCTTCCATCTCGCACCACGGGGCCAGGGCTGAGAGAGAGCCCTATCTTCCCCTCAGAGGCCAGGGGTTCTGTTCTCACCCCTGGTGCCAACGCCTGTGTGTGTTGTGTACGTGAGCAGTCCCACTTGGAGCAGGGGAAATAAACACCTGCCACTAAGCCTTGTGGTTCACCCTTCATTGTACTTGTTTCCACATCATTTCTTTTTTTCTTTTTTTTTTTTTTTTGAGGCAGCCACAGAACTCTTGTACCAAAAAATACCATGGAGAGGTTTTTACAACAACTTATTTCTTATTATTTTTACTTGAAAAAAATGTCTTGCGTACCAGGGCACCAAAGCCTTGAATAACAGCTCTTTCTCTTCACCCCTGGGTGGCTCCGGGGCTGTTGAGCTCCCCCACAGACTGGGTTGGGGTAGGGGCCCAGCCTCGCCTCCCTGCCAGGCTCCCTGGATTTAAGTAGCTGGTCTAAGCCAGCAGTGCCTCCCCTCCCATTCTTGGGAGGGATGGCATCAAGGCCCTGCAATCTGTGGCATCACAGGGTCACTGGTAGAGCAGGTAGCGCTTCATCGCAGGGGGCAAGGGCAGAGCAGATACCTGGCCCAGTCGGGCAGCCCCCAGTGCCTGGCATACAGACAGGCGGCTCAGGTGCAGAAGGGAGTGCGGCTCCGCTGGGGGAGAGAAGGAGGGGAAGGTAAGTAGGAGTGCAGCCACCAACCAGACATCCTCAAACTACAGGATTCCCTTCCACACTCCTGCTCTGAACCTGCTCCTGCCTTGGTTGAGAGAGATCTAAGGCACCCTGAAGCTCTGTATCTGCTCTTAGGGTGGGAGGTGTCACATGCTCCCAGCCAGAGCTGTGGGTGAAGCTCTAGCTTAGGCCTCTAAGCAACAGGGCAAGGTAGGTATCACAGGGGTGGAGCTGGCCCAGGCTTCCATTCCGGAGAGGCCTTGGGAAAGGGGCTGATGGGGTGAAAGGAAGGATGGTCCTCCACTCCACAGCAGCTGACCTGAGGGTGATAGGAGAGGTATCCGGCCTCTGCTAAGACTACAACTGCATTAATCCCAAGTCCTGGCTCCACTGGCTCCCCAAGGAGGCCCCTCCCCTGCAGTCCCACCCCAAACTGCCTCTACAGCTCTCCTTCCAGGAGTGGTAGGGGGGAGGGGGCCTCAATGGCTCCTTCCTGGGGTTTGAGGAAGTAGGTATGCCTGTGTCACACCCTGGATGCCTGGCACTGCCTGTCCTCTTCCTTTGAAACTTGTACACCTAGCCCTGCACCCATTTAACCCTTTGCACCTCTGCTCCAGGAGCTGATAGCTCCTGTAAAGCCCTAATCCCTGGAGGGCCTCCCTCCAATCTGGCACTCACCACTTACAGCAAGTTGCATTCCCAAGCCTCACCTTTACCTCTACTGCTGGGAGGATTAAATTAGGTAACAGCTGTGAAGACCCTTAGCCATTTCTGGCACTGAATAAGGGGTTAGGGAGGCAGGTCAGATGAAGACTTGTTCCCTCTACTCTTGTAAAGGCGTTGGGTTTCCAACCCAAACCACAGCCACCAGTGAAAGAACGCTGTCCCACACCTACCCCAGGCCTCACCTCTCCTTTCGCCGAGGTAGCTGATGCGGACCTGGCACTGGCCCCAGACAGCGCTTACCGCCGGATAGAGGGTCCTGCCCTTCAGTCCGCGGAAGGCTGGTCCCAGGTAGGTGCCCCCAGTAGCGTAGCCCAGAGTTCCCTCCTCCATGTCCAGAACCACCAGCAGCCTCTCCGGCACCTCCAGCTGCTCACCCTGAGGTCCGGCTGGATATTGGGGGGCCCCTATCCCCTTACTCTGATGGTACAGCTTTCCTCGTCCAATGTCCCAGCCCCACGACTCGCTGTTGCTGCCCAGCAGCGCCGCGTAGTGGTCGGCCTGCAGCGGGGCGTTGGCCGTGGCCACACCCACCACGGCATGGGTGCCCCGCTGCTCCGGGGGCCAGCTGATTTCCCAGGCGTGCAGGCCCCTCGAGTAGCCCCTCTTACCCCGGGCCCCATCAGTGCTCTGGGCTACGGGCCGCCGTTCAAAGCACAATCCCCCTTCCTTGACCACGATGTTCTCTGAGCAGTCTTTGGGGTTCCAGCCGTGGCGCCGTTGAGTCTCCAGGTCTGGAAGCGGAGCAGAAAGCAGTTCCTCCAAGCCTTCGGGAGAAGAGTGGTCCGGGTACAGAGCCTGTGGGGTGGGGGTGCTGCTGCTGCCCCCTGCCAAGGCCGTCTGGCCCATGGAGATGAGGAACTGGAGGATTCCCCGAAAGAGTCTTGCTGGGGCGCCTCTCTTCTGCAAGCTGCGCTCCCGTTCGGGACTGACCTGGAGAGGAGTTGGGAGAAAAGAGGATGTAAAGTGCGGGGACCTGGCGGGGGCTCCTCGCCCACGCGTGCCATCCTTTCACTTGTTTGCCCACTGCGCTGCTCCGCCCTCTTTGCTCCCCCAGCAACTTGTCCTCACCCATCTGTCCCGGTCTCCCGTGGTTCTCTCGAGTTCACCCCTTCGGGCCTCTCCAGCGCCGTCCCCCTCGCCTGCCCAGTGACCGCGCCGCTGGTGGCTCCCCAGCATCGCTTGGCGCCCCGTGCCGGGAGGTCGCCGGTTCCGCGGAGCCCCGGCCGCAGAACGCCTGCCGCTTCCGCTTCCAGCACCTCCTCCAGGCTCTGCCCCGCCCGGGCGCAAACCGGCCCTCCGGGCGGTTAACCCTCTCATTGCCGCTCCCTGTCGCTCCCCGCGCTGAGGCCACGCCCCCGCCGAGGAGACCGTTCCGCGCGGTTAATCCCTCTCCTGCCTCGCTTTGGGATCTCTGGAGGTCTGTTCTGCACTGTCAGTACCTTTGAGCCACCTGGGCAACCAACTCCTGAGCCGCTGGATACGAGGGGCGTGGAGTCAAGGGGGTTCTTCCGTTGTGCTGACCTCCGTTTCCTTGATCTTGTGATTCAGGGGCACTGTTTCTGGGTAGGTCTCTTTCTGATCGGGTTGTGAGTCAGCCCGTTCTATGTCTGAGGTTCTGAGGGTAGGTCTCTTTCTGACGGGGTTGTGAGTCAGCCCGTTCTGCCTAAGGTTCTGTATTCCCGGCCCTGAGCACTGACAGTGGCATAGGTCTCCATGCTGTTCTAGTCTTGATCCTGGATGTCCATCCGTTCCTAAAGTGTGGGTCTCATTTGGGAGAGAGTAATGATTAAGAACTTGGCTGTGAGTGAAACTATGCTACTAATTAGCTGTGCGACCTTGGGGAGGTTACCACACTTTTCTGAACCTTTTTTTTCTTGTGCAAAATGGGGAATAATGATGTCAGTTACCTCACAGGTTGGTGTAGAGTTAAAGTAATCCAGTTAAAGCACTTAGTATGGAGTCAGGTACTTAGCATGCACTCACTAAGCATAGCTCTATTATTTACCTAACACTTACGAAGCACCCACGCTGTAGAGAGGCAATATAATATAGCGGTGAAGGATGCACGCTGTGGAGCTAGACTGACTGGGTGTGAATACCTGAAGGCCAGTATGCACGAGACCTTGGGAAAATTTCTTAACCTCCCTCATGCTGTTTCTTTTTCTGTAAAACGGAAATGCTCTTGGTAGCTACTGCCTGAGATACTGATGAGAATTCAGTGAGGTATTATACACGCAAAGCACTTGGAACAGTTTCTGGTTCAAATGTGATCATGTGTGGAAAGCACTGAAGATCAAGCAGTGAATCCTCAAACAGTTTACAAGGACACTTATAAAAAGTTTATCATGTAGTAGATGAAATTACGGAGATATAATGAAAGTATAGGGGAGTAAAAAGGATGGGACAGCTAATCAGGGATCAGGCAGTTAGGAAAGGAGACAACAGGTGGCTGAATCTTAAGGAGTGTCTAGGAATTGGCCTGAGAGGTGTTTCTGCAGGAGCGGGGTGAGCTGAGGGTTGCTGCACGTAGAAGGCAGTCCGGGCAGAGCTGGCATTAAAAAGGCCAGAAGCAGTAGTTGCCTTTGGGGAAGTTCAAAGACTTCAGGGTTGCTACAGCCACAAAGGCAGCATGGAGACAAACCTAGAGGCATCAGTGCCAGATCAAGGAGGCCTTGTAAGCCAAGTTAAAGAATGCAAGTGTTAGCCTGTGAAGAGGGGAGCCAAGTAGGAGAGAAGCAAGAGAAGAACAAGGTCAGATGCTCATTTTAGAAAAACCACCCTGCAAGGCCTCACGGACATGGACAACACTGTGGGGATGGGTGGCGGGGTGGGGTGGGCGTATAAGGAGACTAAATGGTAATGGAAAATAGATAAGAAAGATTATATATATATTTTAAAAGTATATGTTTTAAAACAGGAAAGAAAGAAAGAAAAAAAGAAGAAGAAAAAAAAAACCCTACCTGGCAGCCATACTGAGGAGGCTTCAAAGGAAATAGGGCATGAAGCACCAAGACTGGTTCCAGCAGCCCCGCTGACAAGTGTCAAAAGACTGAAATAAGGCAGTAGAAATAAGGATGAAAAGAATTTAAGAAATACTGAGAGGACCCTGGCCATGTAGCTCAGTTGGTTGGAGCATCATCCTGATATGCCAAGGTTGCAGGTTTGATACCCAGTCAAGGCACATACAAGAATCAACCTATGAATGCACAAATAAAGTGGAAACAAATCAATGTTTCTCTCTCCGCTCGTCTCTCTAAAATCAATAAGTAAACATTTCTTTAAAAAATAAAACCCTGATAAAATTGAAGGTTTGGTGACTGATTAGATGCTGAGGCCAGGGAAAGGAAAGAGACAAAGGGAGGTTTCTAGCCTGGAAGAGTTTGTTGGATGGTGGTGCCACCAATGAAGATGGAGATGACAGGAAGAGGAGCAGCCGGGGGCAGGTGCAAGAAGGTGGGAAAGAGAGATGGTGAGTCTGGTTTAGGTCATGGGTTCCTGGGCAACAAGCAGAAGGAACCATTCAGAACACACTTGAGAATGACAGGTATGGAGGAGGAGGTAGAGACCTGGGAAAGAGAAATAAACTTGGGAGATGTGTCAGCCTTTATTCAGGAATTGAACTACGAGAATCAGTGAGGGGAAATGGGGAGTGTGTAGAGTGAGAAAAGGGTCAAGGAGAATACAATGTAGCAGAGAATTCAGGTTTGACTACTGAGATTGTTTAGGTCATTGGCTGGTGTGGTTAGACAGCTCCTGTGGGGTATGGGAGGTGGGAGCCCAGGCTGAGGGGGCTGAACTGGTACTGTGTGTCAAACACTGGGCTACAAGCTTCCCATTTTGGGAGGATAGAGTCAGGAGAGGAATGGGGACAATTATGCCTTGTAGTCAAAATTACCCTTGAAAATCTCTAACTCCTATTAGGTACAGCATATGTTAGTTTTGAGTCAAATACAATATGTGGCAGCACATGTACAGAGTGGGGCATAAGTAGATTTACAGTTGTAAGTACATGAAACACAGAGTTTATTCTTGTATTATTTATTAAATTATTTTCCACACGAACAACTTTAAACCTACTTTTGCTCCACCCTGTACAATGACGTACAGAATAAAATTTTATAATATTTTAATTAAAGAGACAGGAAAAAGTATATTAAAAAGAAATGTAAACCTGAATACTTGTCATACATCCAACCTGGATATTCTTGCCAGTGTGACAACAGAAATAATGACATCATGACTGTGGATAATGGCCTATGTTGACTATCAGTGGAGGATCTGTGTGATAACCAAGCTGATGAAAACTTGGGGAACAGAAAGGCAAGCCTAAGCCATAGCCAACTCCAGTTCAGCTTGAGAAGTTGCTGATTGTTCAAAACATGGTATTTACCAATTGTTGCCACTGGATCTTGAACCGCTCGAACATTTATTGATAATAGCTCAAATATTCCATACTGGTACAAGTAATTTTAACTTTTTACTTTTTTATTGATATGTAATATACATAAAGTACACTAATCTTAAATTGCTCAATGAATTTTTGCATATAGCGGTACCTCTTGGTACTCTTCATTAATTCATTCTGGAACTCAAGACAAGTGCTGAAACCAACGAGCACCAGAAGATGAAGAACTTTCTCTTGTGGTACAGTGTTGTGACTTATACAAGTTCTAAGTGCGACGAGTCCCAGGCAGGCGCTGAGTGCTGAAACTTTTTTTTTCCCTCATCAAAATGAAATGAGTACAGGGTATGACAAGTTCTGAAGCTGGCAAGTACCGAGGTATGACTGTATTTTTATGCTATGCGACCACCATTTCTAGCATTAAGATCAAGTATATCTCCAGCATCCCAAAAGGCTCCTTTTGCCTCTTCCCTAACACTACACCCCTAAAAGTCACTACTCTTTGACTCCTATCAATATAGATTAATTTTCTATTCTTCTTCAATTTCATATAAATAAAACCATATAGTATGTATTGCAATTTTTTATTTTTTAAACCTTATTTTTCAAGATTTTATTTTTAGAGAGAAGAGAGGAGATGGAGAAAGAGAGGGAAACACTGATGTGCAAGAGATGTATCAGTCGGTTGCCTCTTGCACACCCCCAACTGGGGACCTGGGCAGCAACCCAGGCATATACCCTGACTGGGAATCAAACCCATGACCTTTCAGTTCAGAAGCTGGCACTCAGTCCATTGAGCCACGCCCGCCAGAGTGTACTGTATGTATATATATTTTTAATTCTCACCTGAGGATCCTCTGCCTCTTGTATGTGTTCCCACCAGGGACCAAACCCATAGCCCAGGCATGTGCCCTGACCAGGAATAGAACCTGTAGCCTTTCAGTTTATAAGACAACTGCTCCAACCACTGAGCCACACCAGCCAGGGCTAGTACGTATTTTGTGTCTGACTTATTCTTCTCAACATTATGTCTGTGAGTCATCCATATTACTGCATAAAATAGTAACTCATTGTTTTAATTGTTTTACAGTATTCCATTGTATGTATATACTACAATGGATCTACTGATGGACATTTGAATTGTTTCCAGTTTTTAACTATTATAGAAAAAGATACTATGTACATTATTGTACAAGTTTTTTTGCACTCATTGTTATGGGTGCATACTTATATAAACAATTGCTGGTTTATAAAAAGTTTACAATGTATAGATTTAACTATACATGTAATTTTCAGGTTTCTCTCCATAGAGCACTTTTATTCAGAAATTAAATCATTCAGGTATTTTGCAGTATGGAACACTTCAACATAGCCATGAAGATTTGAATTGATCTTTTTTTCCTGTTCATTATATCTTTATCTTCTGGGCATTTTATCAGTTCCTCAAACATTTTATTAGTGTTTCTCTGTGGCTCTCAAGAAACCCTTCAATTTCTTTCACAAGCCACTTGCTAGGCCACTTACACAACGAGTTTCATTTCTTTGTTAATAAAAAAAACCCCTTAAAATCCTAAATACATTCTTCCCAATATGCATGGATTGGTTTAGGCTTGATTATTTCCCTCTCTGATAGAAATGATGCAATTGACAATACTGAAGAACTCCCAACTCTTCCAGCTCATTACCGCATTAACATT